ATGTAAACGTTTCAGAGTGATATGGATGATTTGAATATCTATCGTGAATAAGGATCTAATTTCACCTTATTCGGTGTATAGATCAAAAATGGTGAGAACAAGAATTAGAGTTGGAAATGCTGATGAAAACATTATTTCTATTGCATTTGAGCTCATATTATATTTGATTTCGTGATTAATCTCCAATATCTATCTATTTTGAATATGTTATTTTATTAGACCTTTAGTAAGTTTCATAACTTCATTCAATACATATATTATTTATACTTGTATGATTTTTCTATAATGACTTATAGGAAGAGGTTTAGTGGGTTTCTAACGAACAATTTCAATCTAATAATATGGTTTTATATATTAAATTTCAATTAGGAGACCTAAAAGTAGTTGGTAAATTATTATTACACATCGTTTGCGATGTAACTTTAAACTTATAAAATTCAATACAAATATATACAAAGCTTATCATAAGCTCTAATAGAAGATACAAGAAAGATGGTAACGAGATTTGATTGCATTTTGTTAAAACTGTGTAGTTCAAGATGATTCTATATCTAATATTAGGTACATGACAACCACATATTCCATAAGCCATATATATATATATATATATATATATATATATATATATATATATATATATATATATATATATATATATATATATATATATATATATACATATCCCTTCCTTATTCTAATAAATGAATAGTTTTAATCTCTTTCTGTTAATTGTCACTCTAATACAACACATTATTAATACTATGTCATGTGTCATATAGATATATTAGGCAATTCATTTCTAAATTTAAATTTAAATTTTTCTAATTATATGTTCAATTTGAAGTTATTATAGCTTTGAAAATTTGATATATCTCTTAATTAATTATTTATTTAAAATAATTGATTAATAATTATAAACTTTTATTATGAAAATTTAATTAATTTTATAACACGTGGTTTCCACAAGTTAGAAACTAGTATATATATATATATATATATATATATATATATATATATATATATATATATATATATATATATATATATATATATATATATATATATAGAGAGAGAGAGAGAGAGAGAGAAAAGTTCAATAGAGAACCCGAATTATTGATTTTTGAAGGAACGAAATCTTTTTTTGATTTTCTAGAGCTTATTCTTTACCGAAAAAAAAATCTAAAAATATCTAAATTCGTATATTAACATTATAAATGTGAAAAATATTTTTCGGATTAACCGTGTGAATATATATATATATATATATATATATATATATATATATATATATATATATATATATATATATATATATATATATATATATATACACACACACACACGAAAATGATTAATACTACAATCAGTAGATAATGTTTATATAAATAATCAAAACAAAGTTTGTCATTGATCCGGTAATATATCAGTAGTCCGTCCTAATCCTAATACATGTAACAAAATCAGACCCTCTAGACCATACATTATATGTCTATTATTCCAAATCCAGTTAAATTCGTCCGAGATCTTCTACCATGATTTCAAACCATATACATACATTTGTATCGAAATATTGTATCTTGCAAAAGTAAAACATTTGTTCTGTTGACATAAGTACGCTAAAAAACAATATATCATTCTAGATTCTATAAAAATACTATTCCACAAATATAAAATAGGCCGTAAACTTTGTTTGAATATCTTTTTATTTGAAAAATCATTTTCAGATATCATTCTAGATTCTATAAAAATACTATTCTAGGTTGTTAACTCGAGATCTTATCTAAGATTACAAGATGAGGACTGAGATCCTAAGGGAAAAAAACATATTTTTTGCTTATAAGTTCAAAACCTGAAAAGTATCTCCAATATAGGTTAGCCACAATAAACAGTAAATCAGTTAATGAATTCAATTTTTAATATATTTTCTATTTTTTTGATTTTTTATAATTTTATTAATTCTTTTAAAAAAATCAAGGGCAGATAAGCTCGGATTGGATTCCGATTCGACTATCTTACGATCTTATCTCATATACGATCCGACTTATTTTTCATGTCTAGAGCCGTACAATCATACGATCAAGATCACAAATTTGACAACAATGGACATCAAAAATACACTTCCATTTTCATATTTTTATGATTAACCCTTACTTTTATGGTTCCTTTTGATGGTCCATGTAATTGGATAAATTATCGTGTGTGATAATATATGCATCGCTTTCAATTTTAATAAAACATGACCATCTTTTAACAATAAATACTGCTATATTAATTTCAAAATTGAAGCAATCATATGTGAAGAAAGTCAATATAAGAATAAACAGCGTTGTATGTAATAGAAGGGTCATTGACCGTTCGGATAGAAACATCATGTAAAACCACTAGTTCTTCCTACAAGGAAAGAGAAGACGTAATAGTACAATGGTCAAAGTATAACTTTGAAAGTAGAATAGTACACGAGAAGAAAACCAATGATAACGATTTATTACTAACTTGTTTGGTTTTCATTTTGCTAAAAATGTTTATATCCCTAAAGAATAATGTCATAAATATCTTTAAGTTTTGCCGAAAACGTCGGTTTTACTCTCTGGCAGATTTTTTGTTCGTTTTGCCACAAACTTGCTATTTTTGTTGTTGGTTTTGCCTATTTTACCTGTAATATCAGGTTTTCAGGTTAGCATGAAATATTATTTGCAAAAAACCCTTAAGTGTTCAAATATTTTGCAAAAAACCATTAAGATTATAAATCATAATAATAGTCCGGAATATGTTGTTAAGGATTCTCGAATTCGTATTGATGAACACATAATGATATCGCTTCCTATAAAGATTGAATGGAATAAAATCATTCATAGTAAGGTTAATATATTTCTATAGAGAGCTGCCTTGGACCGTTTTCCTACCAAAACAAACTTGTCCGGCTGTGGTATTGACGTTTCTTAGTCCTTATGTCCGGTTTGTAATAACTCTACAAAAGATATTCGACATATGCTCGTCGATTGTCCCAAATTCGTCTCAAGATAAGTCATTGGTGTGATATAGATTTATCCAATCTTATTCTTATCAGTGATTTACATGGTTTTTGGATTCGTTGTATATATTCATGGCACGAAAAGAAATTTTGGTGGTGATAATAGTCATTATATATTGGCATTATTTCCATACAATTAGTTTTTTAAAGAGAAATAAAAGTATTTTATATGCTTAAAATGTTTGTGTTTTAGAAATAATAATATATCATATTTTTTTTATAAAAATAAATATAGTTTCATACGTTATTCTTTCTAAAACACAACTATAAACCTTTTAAACATATAAAATATAAATATATTTATCTAATTTGTTATATAAATATATTTATTTGTATACAAATATGATACGTAACTATTTTTGAAATAAAAACTTTTTAAGCAATAAAATATTTTTATTTTCCTTTTAAAAAATGAATTAAATGTAATTAATGTCATATTATTCATATATTTAACTATTTTAGCATATATGTAGCAATGTAATTAATTATTAGCTAACATATATTTCTTTACTTTTGCTTAGAAAAGTTTAAGTATTAATAAAGGAATATATTCAAATTTTGATAACCTAAATAATTTTTTTTTTAATTTAAATATCAAAAATTTATGTCGAACCAATAAAAAATTACCATACTTTATTAGGTAAAATATGTTTCGGTCTTGGTTTCAATATATAAGTACAATAAAATTTATATCGGTGATATAAACTTAAGATATTTAAATTCAAAAAAAATAAAAAAATAAAAACCATTTAGTTTCATCAAATTTTGAATATATATTTATATATTATATGTTTATAATCTTAAGAGCTTTTTTGCAAAATATTTGTAAATTTAATGGTTTTTCACAAATAATGTTTCATGGTGACATGGAAACCTACAATTACAGGTATAAATGGCAAAACTACAAAATAATGGCCAGTTTGTTGTATAAACGAACCAAAAATCCATCAACCGGTAAAACCAACATTTTCGCCCATATTTAAGATTTTTTATGGCATTATCTCTATCCCTAATGCAATATTTAACTTTAATCTGGACTGATCCGTTAATTTTCAAGCCCTGTATAAAAAATAAAATAGACCTATAAATATATATTTTTTAATTAAACGAAAATGATTAATAATACGAGTAGTAGATAATTTTTATAAAAATAATAAAAACAAAGTTTGTCAATAATCCGCTAATATATCATTAGTCCGTCCTAATCCTAATATATGAAAAAAAATCAAACCCTCTAGACGACATGAGTCCTCTACGGTCGTACTTCCAACACATGATCTGAGACCTTGAGTTCAACAATATTCGTTGTTAACAATGACTTAGAGTATATCAATGAGAATAGAATGGTTGTACTATACATACCCCTTTAACCAATTTTACCCCTCTAACATCAATTCAACAAATCTTTTACTTTTGATTTGATATTATTTTTTTTTTCTTTTTTCTTGTTTTTCCGTTTTTTTTCTTTTATTATTATTATTATTATTATTATTATTATTATTATTATATAGAAAGAAGGTTCCCAACAGTACTATGTACCTATTGGACCACCTTTAATATTTATTGTTTTTTTTACTCATGTGCTGTAACTTTGATGGTATATGTGTTCTTCGCTGCTCCCACACACAAGTGTAAACAATAAAAGCAGGATGAGTGTGCTCTCCACTGCTTCATTCCCCACTTGAGCTTCCACCGCACCATCAATTTTTTATCTTCCACCGCCTTTGTCCGTGTTCATATATCTCACCACCTTCTCTCACCGACTCTGATTTCGTTCATTTCCCTTCTAATCGTACCGATTGCTTTTTTCCTTCATCCACCGCCATCGACTCCTCCTATCTTTCTTCCTTCTCTCAATACTTCTCTCTACATGGAGATTCCATGTTTCTTCCACGACCTCTCCATGTAACTATTTTATGGGATGTTAGGCTTACAATCCACGATAATATTGTACAAAATTTCACCAACAATGGAAGTTGGAACACATCTTTTAGGTTGTTTATCTACAGTGGCATCATCAGAACCAGAATCACCATCTTTTTCATCCAATTCACCATCACTACTTAAAGGTGAAGCTTGCCTACCAGGTGTTCGATCAAATGCATCATTATGGCACCGATTTTCGAAATTACAGGTTAATTGTTCGATTTCTTTTATTTTGCTTTAATAAGGGTTCTTACAACTGTTTATATAGGTTTGTTTTGGTTGATACTTTGGGAAAGATTGTGTATGTGTGGAATTGAATGGTGGCGAATGTTGTCAGTTGGAGAATCATGTGATTGAAGGGGATGATTTGCTGACTACAGGTTTTAGAAACGGAAAGAATAAACAAGGATGTAGATCCATTGAAATCCGTTAACAGATGCAACTTGGAGCCTACTTTGCTGACCGGCGTTCTCTCCAATGATTTTCGTGAATCAACGGAGGATCACGGCGGACTGATTTTACAACGTCGGGCTCGTGCAGACGTCTTCTTGTCGTCTTCGGACTTGGTGTTGCCTTATTCTACGCCAAACATTAAGGTAAAGGAAATCGGTAACTTGATACTTTTCACTTCGGTTTGGTTGATGATTCACGCTTCGATGATCTCCGACTTTATAGCCAAAAATATTACTAATCTGATTCTGAGATAAATTCAATTAATGTTTGATACGATGATAGCGTTAAATAATTGATGATCAACATCAATTTGCGTATATCAGGTTTTCATTGTATTATTTGAAAACTAATCGTGATAATTGGGGATAGAATTAAAACGCAGGGATACAATAAAGAAGCGAAGGTAGTGGTGAATGTAACAGTTGAAGGAAGCTCAGGACCAATTCGAGCAATGGTGAAATTGGGTTCAAGTGTGGAGGAAACAATGAAGATGGTGAAGAAACAGTATGATTCAGAAGGCAGAAGCCCTCAAATTGATCAACACTCCATTTCAAGCTTTGAACTTCACCCTTCTCATTTCAGTCTTCAAAGTAAGTAAATTTCTTCTTTCATTTTTATGTTCAAATGAATTTGATTGATTATATTTGTTTGTCTATAGGTTTAGATAAGTCAAAGATGATTGGAGATGTTGGTAGCAGGAGTTTTTACATGCATAAATGTAAGGAAGACAATTCCTTCACTTGATCAGAGATTATTGTAACAATGGAGAACAATTCTTCAACTCCAACTCCGATCATTGTCTTTCCCAATTTTATTTTGCTGACTACAGGTTCCAGAAGTGGGAAGACTCAACAAGGATTTAGATTTGGACGAGAAACATGCCTATAAGCCGTTCGATGAAATGTCTGATCCAATTAAGGTAGGTTATTAGCAAATGAATAAGGTATCTTTACAAGGAAATGCCAATGACTTTTGGTTGTAAGTACTAAATACACATAAAATCACAAGATTTTTTTAATGTATGTGTACTAAATTCCAACTTTATAGGGAATTTCCAATGCAACTTTGGGTATCAAGTCATATCTGTCATACTTTTGGTTCTTAATTTTTATGTCTATTGGTTGGATTTTTAATTGGCTTCAACTTATGCTGATAGAATGTTATGTGTATTTTTTTTGGTTTACTATATAAAGACTTATTGTGGGTGCAATTTTGATTCGTGGACTGCAACAGGGAATACTTTCAAATACTCCTCCAGATTGGCACCGAAGATGGAGCATTGAGAATACCATATTCACTAAACTACAAGAAATATTGTGTACCAACCACATCTCCAAAACAGGTCCATAACACATTTTTCTTTTCAAATCTGCTTTTAACTTTCTAGGGTGTTCAATTTTGTACACTTTTGGATTGAACTAAATTACTAATTATATTCAAAAGCTCTAGAAACAAAAACTATTCATAAGCTGTAAAAATATGTCATAGATTAGGATGGTCATTTTTGTAAAAGCCGGTTTCGGATAAACAAAAAAACGTCACAAGTTATGATTAAAAAAATTTAAATTTAGTTAAAATAATTTTTTTTATTAGATGAAAGTGAAAATATAGGTCGACTTTTAATTAAGTTTAAAGGATTTTTTTAAAGATGCCCCTATATAACATACATTAGTGCATTCTTGATGTTTAAACAATGAGGGGTATTATTGGTATTTAATAGTTACAATCTTTTTATCGCGGATAATGTGCTTTTTGGACTTAGAGACTCATTATATAAACCCATACGAGTTAGCAACTAAGATAAACAACATTATGTTGCCTGGGTTATTTTATTTCCCCACAGATTTCTTTTTCCACAGGATGTACCTGATGAAACAAGTATCCAATTTTGACAGCTACCTGTTTGTAGGACCTTGCAGCTTTGACCAAAGAGGAGGTGAGTCTCATTTGCTCCATAACTTCTTTTTCTCTGTTGTTTGTTGTATTCTGATTTATGATATTTGTATTTATGAATTTGGTGTAGGTCACAAGTGACGAGCTTTACCTAAATATTGATAAAATGGATCCATAAATGATAGATACTTACGGAAGGGTTAGCCCTGGATTTCCTACCATTTCTCTTCCTTACTCAAATACGGTGTCAAATTACAGTATTGTGACATCCCCAAAATCACGGCCAGAAAAGACTGGTTTAATTTATGCTTTAAAAATAATTTCAGAGTAATCCTTTGATTAAAATAGTTGCGGAATTTATTCCCAAAAACAAAATGTGATAAAATAATATTTACCAAAGCATTTCATAAAGAAATGTATTTTCATTAAATGATCAAAACTCGGGATGTCATGTTCCGATACAGACAATAAATCATAAACGATAACATTACAAGTCATTCAATAAATATATTCATATACAAACTTGCAAACAAAACAACTTGATGATTCATCCATCTTATGCCCTTATGCCACTTCCTGTAATACAAATAAACTTAGTGGGTCAGGCTTGGGAGCCTGGTGAGCATATAGGGTTTTCAACCCACAATAAATAATTATATTTAATTCCATCAACCAACAATAACCCAATTACCCATTCTCGTTATTCTCACTTTACATCCCTAAAATAACTAACACGAGGGACCTAGTCTAAGAATATTTCATCGGGGCGACAACACATGCATTCGGGGGTTTCCTAGCAATATATGTCAAATAAGGCAACCATGAGGGGGATGGAGTACAACGAATGAGCACCCAAGTTCATTAACACCTACAGATGGCGAACATGCTAGCGTTCCATAGGATTGTCTAGAAATGTCTATTGTCGTCATCTAAACTCCGCTATATGACTAAATCAAAAACAACATTGAGGCCTCTTATCTGTTTATCACACAACTATCTACCCATGTTCTACCCGACATATTAGTAGATAAAAATATATATTTTTTATACATAGTTTAAAACCTGTATAGTATTCTCATTCAATACATATTCCAAACAACAAATGAGACACATACACATAACACGTATTTCATTCAGAATAAATCATATTTATGAGATAGAAGAAAGTGAATATACATTCACACATATAACAACAAAATATACACATAACACGTATTTCGTATAAAATACTTCATAATTATGCTTTAGAAGAAAGTAACTACACACTCACTTGATCAGAAAGATGATAGGACAACACTACGGCTTATAGAAGTAGTATTCTTCGGCATATCTGGAAGATCTTCACAAAAACCGGGCTCCTCACGGGCAGAGCTTCGGCTCAGGAATTGCACCTCTCGGGATCTTCGGGGCTTCGGGGTTCGGGAATGATACCAGGGCTTTGAGATAATTCTTGCACGAAAAAAGATGCAAAAACGTGAGAGAAAGGGAAGAAATGAGCAAAGAACTCGGCTTCCCTCGACATCCTTTTATAGGGGGCTGAAACCCGATTTACGCTAGGCGTAATGGGGATAAGACCGCTGACCCCCCCCCCCCCCCCCCCCCCCCCATGGATAATACCAGTATTTTTTATTTAAATTAAATACCGAAATTTTTTAATAAACTTCAAAAATTCATATCTTCCTCATACGAACTCCGTATTCGACGTTCTTTATAGTCCCACGTAGATGAGACTACGCTCTACAACTTTCGTTTGGAGTCCGCTGGCTAATTTTGAATTTATTTTTATTATGTATTTTTAGTAGGCTGTGACTGGAAAGCTCCGTTATAAATTCATAACTTCTTCATCCGACGTCCGTTTTCGCCTATCTTTTCATCGTTTCACTACAATTAACGAGATATTCGATTCTCGTTTAGATTGTTTTGGCTAAACATCGTTCGGTCTCAAATTGAGTATTCGGGCTGCATACTGCTAAGTCGAAACTTTGAAAAATCATAACTTTCTCATACAAAGTCAGATTTGGGCGTTCTTTTTATGCACGCTCTCGGTTTAACGAACTCTACGACTTTCGTTTAGATCACTAAGGCTAAATATCTCTCTAACGTAAATTTCACTTTTTACGTCATTCAACGTTGCTGGTTCTGTCGCGAAACTTCGACAAGTCATAACTTCTTCGTTATAACTCGGATTTTGGCATTCTTTATATCTTCGGAATCCTTGTTTCGACCACTACATCTTTATGCAAAGATATCGGGCTTATCTCACACTTAAATTTGATGCTTATTTTATTCTTAATTCATTAAATTATAATAATTACGAGTAGGTAATTCGTTTACGAGAAAGGTACCTAAAGAGACATCAGCTTCATCTTTCGCAAACTCAAGTGTCATCTGGAAGGCTCTCGCCTTCGGCTTTGGTGGAATATTGGGCTTATCTACCTCCTTCTTCTTCGGACAGTGTTTCAAAATGTGCCCTTCCTCGTTACAACCAAAGCACATCCTTTTGTTGGACGGACACTCAATGGAAAAATGTCCAATTTTTCCACACTTGTAGCAGGTTACATCCTCACTACATTTCCCAAAGTGATTTTTCTTGCACTTCTCACACCATTTCGCATCACCTCCTTTTCCTCCAAACTTTTTCGAATCGGACTTCGAAAATTTTCTTTTCCTATTGGAACCTGAAGTTCCTTCAAACTTTCTCTTCTCGCCAACTTCAACCTTGTTGGCGGTTCTTCCCTTGATCATGTCCTCAACAGACTTGGCAGCCCAAATAGCTGCCTCTAGAGTAGATGCCTGACGAACTGGCACTGCGTACTCCCATGAGAGTCCTTTTGCATACTGGTCAACCTTTGTCAGCTCATCTGGAACGATGCGCAAGGTAAACTCCATTTTGTCGATGAAAGCATTTGTGTATTCATCAACTGAAATGCTTCCCTTTGTTAATGTCAGAAACTTGTTCTCCAACTCCAACAGATTTTGAGCCGAGTAGAACTTGCGCTTGAACTGCACCAAGAACTCTGCCCATGACAATTGCAGTGGCTCATTAAGGCTTAAAGTCTTCCCTAGAGTGTTCCACCAACGAACGACTCCACCTCGGAACTGACACACTGCAAAGGTAGTCTGCAACTTGCCTCTGCAGCCACAATTCATGAAGGCTAACTCCATTTCGGAGATCCAATCCATCACTCCGATCGGGTCCTCCTTTCTAGTGAAGGTCGATGGTTTGCAAGTCAGAAAGTCCTTGTACTTGCATCCCATTCCATCATTCCTTCCACCCTGGTTGATTTGCCTAACTATTAGTGGGTTTTCTTAACCAATAACTCCACTGAAGTTCTCTCCTTCAGACCGCCCTCCATTCACTTCGGGCTTTTCCACTTGAATTAACAGTTCTTCACGATTCTGTTGAAGCAGCCATCTCGTTTCATTCATCTGACGATCCAACATCGTCTGAATCATCAATTGTACACCTTCCATTGTTATCGGCTCAGGTGCTACTGCTACGACAGGTATATACTCAATCACTGGTGGTTGATTCCATGTGCCACTTCCTGTAATACAAATAAACAGAGTGGGTCAGGCTTGGGAGCCTGGTGAGCATATAGGGTTTTCAACCCACAATAAATAATTATATTTAATTCCATCAACCAACAATAACCCAATTACCCATTCCCGTTATTCTCACTTTACGTCCCTAAAATAACTAACACAAGGGACCTAGTCTAAGAATATTTCATCGGGGCGACAACACATGCATTCGGGGGTTTCCTAGCAATATATGTCAAATAAGGCAACCATGAGGGGGATGAAGTACAACGAATGAACACCCAAGTTCATTAACACCTACAGGTGGC